TCACAGATAGGCAATCAAAGCTCAAAAGCAGGGATGCCTGGGTGGCTCAGCGGTTGAGCACCTGCCTTTGGCTCAGGGCATGATCCCGGTCTGGGGATTGAGTCCCACATTGGGCTCCCTGCAAGGAGCCTGTTTCTCCCTCTGTCCATATCTCTGCCTCTCTCTGTGTGTCTCTCATGAATAAATAAATGAAATCTTAAAAAAGCAGAGACCTACTCTTAAACACAGGAGGCACTTGGCTCCAGGATTCAGAGTCCATCAAGTAAGCCAAGGGACCTAATCTGAGTTTAAGCCCTGGCTCTGGTTCTGCTACCTCCAATCAGTTTCTCTTTGTTCTTGGTATCATCAGACCATCTATTAAGATCTCTAGTGTCCCTTTGCAGCAAATGGGGATCTCTGATTTGAGGGGTCCCTGCCTTTCCAAGGCTCTAGCTGCAAAGCTGACACCATGAATACTGCATGGGTCATCTGAAACCTCTCCTGAGGAAGCAGGGACATGACGGCCAGAGGCAGAGCCAGGCTCCCCTGGGCTCAACTGAGAAGTAATGGGCGTGAACACCTAACTCCTTTGGGATCCATTCTTCCCCACCCCATACTCCCAAGCAGGCATCCTGGCCTGGAGCCTCAGCATCCCTGTCCCAAGCTACTTATGCACTCTCTCTCCCCATTCCTAGCATGATCTTTTAGGAAAGATTTTGATGGATTTGTTCACACAGATGAGGAAATGACTCATAACAGCTTGAGGTGTGGTGTCTCTTTTTGGTGTTTGCATTTCAAAGAGAGTCAAACCTTAAATCAGGATTTAAAAAAAAAAAAAGCTCCAGTGGTGTAATTTCAGTTATTAGAGAGTAGCAAAAGGTTCTTGAGAAGGCAGGACTGAATTTAATTCTTTTATATTTGTATCTTCGGTAGATCTTATAGAAATGAGCTGTGTGGCCAGTTCCACTCTTTGTGCCTCAGTGTCCTCATTTCAAAAACCAGGGTTGGGCACCTGTTTACCCAAGCCTCTCCCGGCTCTAATAACCTGGCGCCTTTGCAAAGGAATGGCCACCCAATGATTGGAGCAAAATACTTAATGGAATTATTGCCTCAACTTGCTGCTAGAAGCAGGACAGACTGCCAACGAGCCAGATCATGGCTCCAGTGAGGACAGGATATGCATCTACCTGGCCTGTGCTTCCCCAGCAGCAGCTGAGACCCCTCCCATTCCCCACTCCTCGGAAGACGGGAAGGTGCACATGGTCCTCAGGTCACAGCTGGACCGCTGGACTCCATGGAGGCTGCAGCCTTAAGTGTGGCCAGAATCTGGGTCGTTTGTACAGAAGCCAGCAGACCTGATTTAGTTCAAGCCAGGGCGAGGAGCACCTCCCAATTTTATCATCTGTTAAATGGGGGCGGCGGGGGGGGGGGGTGATCCTGTCTCCCTGCGCGCTTCCCAGACTGGCTGAGCGGCTCCAAGGCGGCGAAGGGCTTTGCAAAGAACACAGAACACAATGCCTCCGGCAGCATTTCCAGAGGCTTGGAAAAGCAGAACCCACCTGAACCTGCGAGGCACTTCTGTGGCCTGCACTGGAGGGAGCCCAGCTGGCGTTCTGCTCTCTCTCGGGCTGCTTCCCTGCAGTACCCCCACCTCCAGCTGGTGCGAGCATACATCGTCCTCTGGGCCTCTCTGGGCCACAGAGCTCCCGGGCCAGGCAGCACCTGTGGGGGAGGCCAGGGGCTCCGAGGGAGCCACCAGGCTGGGGTGGGACTGGAAGTGGGGGTGGGGAGTAGATGTGCTCTGCAGCCCAGTGCACCACAACCAAGGCCAGTGGGAAGTCAGACGGGGGTTACTGGACTGCAGTGTCCATCTGCAGGTGCCGGGAGAAGGCTTTTGACCCTCAGCGAGCTCTCCGGCCCTATTTTTGGTCCACACCCAAGAAGTCCCCCCCCAGGGTTTGACCCTGCCAAACCCGGCCCCCCCGACCCTCGTCTGAGTTGGACAATGAGATCTGGTGAGGAGACAGCTTCTAGGCCAGTTTGGAGAGCTAGAGAGTTCTTCCTGACAGTTGAGTCGAACCGTCTTAGTGTAACCTGCCCCCTGGAGCCACATAGACAGGAGTGAGCCCCTGTCCCCAGGGTCGTTCCCCTTCCGCCACTTTGTCCCACCAGAACCACCAGGGGCTCTTTGGTGAAAGGAGTTCGAGGCCCATCTCATCATTGTCAGTTCCCTTTCATCCGCCCAGTAACTGGCCTCAGGAATCCAAGCCAGAGCTCTGTCATTGTCACCACGTGCAATTGACTGGACCTTTGGACCAAAATTCAGGACTCTGCATTCCACTTACATTTACCTCTCCTTTCCTTAGCTTTGATCTGAAGGTTGAGGTAGCCTCAAATCTTGAATCTGTTGCCATGTGGGTGCTGTGGCTCTTATCCAGAGATTTGATAAGCACACCTTTTATTTTCCCTCTAAATTACTTAATGTCACGACAAGGTCAGAGCCCAAAGGGACCTCTGGGCTGCCTTTCCCAAAACCCCTCCCCACATTTCCCCATGAGTTTCCGGGGCTTCCACGAAAGATCTTTGCTGTGTCCTGTTGAAATCCTATAATCTGTCTTTGTCCCTCTCAGAAACCCAGTCTGAAAGAGGGAATTTGGTGGCTTTGGTCTGATTCAGTCTTAGTGAATGAACACGGGGATACTGGCTCTTCAGGAGCACCATGTTATTCTCTTTCTTTTTGGGAAAAAAAAAGTTTGTTTTTATAAAAAAGGATGTGCTCCTGATAAAACAGTTCTAGGCTCTACTAAAGAAGAGGATGGCCATCACTGAACTCTTGCACACACAAGGGTCACCCACAGCCAGTGTGGTTGTCACACCTTTTGCCACATCCCCTTGGTCTGAGGATCCCAGTCGTGGTGGACTATTCCTTGTGCTTCCTGCACCCCACCAAGCCTGCACTCGGGTCTTTCTGCTCTGCTTTCTTTGAAGCTAAGTAGGGAAGCTTCTAGGAGTGCAGGGAGGGCAACCCTCAGCCAGCACAGGAGGTAGCTCCCCTTCTCGAGTGAAGCAAATTCTGGGTGCTTTCTGCACGCTTCACAGAGGGTCCAGAGAGGGACAGAGCCCTCAGGTGCCTACAGCTAAGCCCCATTCATTCCTGCACCCGTTTTTCTCCCGCTCTCATCTCACTCTCTTCACTTCTGCTTTCAGGCATCAGATTCCCTGGACCCGAGCCCTTGTCTTAGGGTACGCTTTCAGGAACCAGGGAATCCAAAGGAAGAGGTCTCTTGGCATGCATTTTACATACATATCCAATAATAAGCCTATATAATTTTGCATAAAGGGGATCATACTACTACTGTGTTCTAAAACCTGCTTGTAAAAAATTACTCACAGCAGGCAGGGAACATATATCCCTGCCTGTAAATAAAATCCTACACGCAGTTCTTACTGTCTACACAGTATGCTTGCAGATGCCTTTCATCATTTAATTTACTTTAATTATGGGCATCTCGATGGTTTCTGGTTTTGCACTGAGCTGAAAATGCTCATGCACATCTCTTTGCAAGTGTACAGGATGGCATCCTTTGAAAAAATTCCGAGGTGTTCAATTGCTTTATTGTCTCTTAAGTATTCATTATGTGTTTGATAATTTATAGAGGCCAATATTGATCTTAGAGTCTTTTTTCTTTTTTTAATCTATCTTTACTTCCTTTTTTGGAGATCAGGACATTTGCCCATCTTTAGTTTTCTGGTTTTCCTTCATTCTTTGTAATTTCCTTTAAGGCAGTGATTACATCAGCAAGCCTCCACATCCCTGGGATTTGTCTGGCCTTCGGTGCCTTCTTCCCATCACCTATCTTGGGTTTCAATTTCCAACTTATGCTCTTTATTCCATCATTTGAGTAAAATTGCCTGTGCCCTGCTCTGCTACCCTCCCTTGTGAGTTAAGCTTACACCGCATACCGCAAGCCCTGAGCAGATTCCTTCGTGTTATCCTTACTCAGACTTTGAAAGCTCTTTGCTCTGTCTTTGTTCATATCCCCTCGCTTCTGTTCACTCGGGCTTTAGTGTTTTGCTAACACTCTTTTTACAGATGGATCTTGCCAGTCCTTCGCATTCGTTTTGGGTTATGTGATCTTCATCGCATCTTTGTATGTGTGCAGTTTTCAAACCCTACAAGTGCAGCCACACAAGGGGTTCTGTGACACTCTCTTTTCTTTCTTGCCAGCAGTGTTCGCAATTACCTCCTTGGAATTTCAGGGTTTTATCATCTCCCGAAGCACCCTCTTTTACTGGTGTGGATTTGTTCAACACATTTTGTCTTACTTTACCCTCCTGGCCACCCAGTGAAGCCAACTAAATGTAAATTTCTGCATTCAACAGATAGGTAACCAGTGGCACAGGGGAGCTGAGCCACACCTCCCCCCCCCCCCCAAAGACACCCAGCAAGCCAGCGGACCAGCCCTCAGTCTTCCAGTTTCTTAGCCTAAATTTAAATTTGGTTTCCTTTGCTCCCTGAGACCGACGGGGGGGGGGGGGGGGGGGGGGGGGTCTGGACCCCCACGTGGTAAGGCTGAAGCAAGCAGCTTTATGCCTGGGTCTTACACCTTAGAGTCCTGGAGGTCGGGTCCATAAATGCACCTTTCCTCCAGGGAGAAAAATTTGCTCTGCATGGAAGAAATCTTGCCTAGAATTTCATCTCCCCCAGCGCTCCCACTCTTAGCAGGCAAAGTCAGAGGGTGACAATTCCACTGAGGCCAACAGCCCAGCTCACCTGGTTTCAGATGATGCCCTGCCCGGGCAGGAGCAGCCTGCGACCGCACAGCGACCCGGGGGCACCAGGTCTTCTCCCCCGCTCCCCGGCTCTGCGTCTCTGTCTCTGGCACACACACACACACACACACACACACACACAGTACAGAGCCCTCTAGGTCTTTCGGCCTCTGCCAGGGTCTCTCTGTCTCTGGCACACGCACACACACATTGTCACACCCCAGCCCCTTTGCTCTCCCCCGGCTCACCGCTGGGGAGTCCGTGCCCGACCCGCTCCCACTCCCAGCCCCCCGCAGCCCCAGCCCCGGGGGCTCACTCACCCTCCATGCTGCCCACTCCGGCCGGCTGGGGGAGCGGGCACAGCGGACCCCTCCGCCCAGGCAGGGGAGTGGGGCGGGGGCGCTCCGGGCACCGGGCTGGCCTGCCCGCGCCCCTACCTCTGCATTCCGGGGATCGAGTCCGGGGCCGGGCGGAAGGGGTGCGGGGGGCGGGGTGCGGGGTGCGGGGGGCGGCGTGCGGCCGCGGGGCCCAGCCGTTCGCGGGGTCTCGCTCCCCTCAGGGCTCCGAGCCCGCCCGGCCGCGGCCCGGCCCCCGCGCGGCGCCGCCTCCCGCCTCCCGCCCGCCGCCCGCCGCCCGCTGCCCCGCGCCTCCCGGGGCGCCAGCGAGGGAGGGGGCTCGCGCGGCGCCGTCGCCACGGCAACCGGCACGCCCGTGCCCGCCGCAGCGCCCCCTGCCCGCCGCCCCCCGTGTCCGCAGGGGCCCTCCGAAGTGGGGGGCACGGCCCGCTCCCTGCCCCGCAGCCCGGCCGGCCCCTCCGCGCCCCTCCGCGCCCCTCCTCGCCCCGCCCCGCTGTCCGGGACCCCGGCCCTCCTGAGAAGGGCGGGAGAGGGGCGCCGGAGGGGGGTCCCCCATCAGCCCGCGCCAGCTCAGCGAGGACGGCGGGGACGCTGTGTCCCGGCCTGGGGAGCGGCGGCCCGGGCGTTCGGCGCGGTCCCTCCCCCGCCGGCAAGTTTCTAGGGCCGCACCCGCCTCAGGCTCCGCGTTCCTAACGAGGCGCCAAAGCTCCTGCCCAGCACCCAGTAGATGCCCCACAAACGGTCCCTGGAGCTGCGCGGGAGGCCACCTCCCTCCCATTACCCGAGCCGCCGTCAAGCCCCCAACAGCCAGCGCCAGAGACTTTTGTCCCCGGAAAGAAGATCCCAGGTTCCAGGCAGAGGAGAGGGAGCGAATGGCCCGTCTTCCTTTAGGGGGCGGGGGGGGGGGGGGGGTGCGGCTTATATCCAGAGTTCTGAAGAAAAGCTTGCAATCCAGCTTGGGCCTAGGTTCCCTCCAGCTCCTCCTCTGCCCTGAGTGGGGGGCAGTCTCAGAGCTCGAAGGCCTTAGAGGGGTCTAAGGGGTCTAACTCCACCCTGGGGTCTGGATCCTAAAGCCCAGCAGTGGGTACTCCTGCCTCTAATCACCCCCTCTTTGCCCGGGATGGCCCAGAGACAGCAGGAGGGAGTCCACCCTTCTGCAGGCCAAACATCTGATTTTCTTTGGCCTTTTTTCTTCCCGTGGCCTCCCTCAGGATTATCTGTAAAACGGGACTAATTTTTTTTTTTTAAGATTTTATTTATTCATGAGAGACACAGAGAGAGGGAGAGAAGCAGAGACACAAGCAGAGGGAGAAGCAGGCTCCCTGCAAGGAGTCTGATATGGGACTCGATCCTGATATGGGATCACACCCTGGGCCAGAGGCAGGTGCTAAACCACTGAGCCACCCAGGGATCCCAAAACGGGACTATTAATAATCCCTATCTACCAGAGTCACTGCGAAGATTAAAGGAGTTACTCTATGTAACGCACTTGGAATAGTGCCTGGCACATAGTAAGTGCTCTGTACATCTTGGGTATTCATACCATGACTGTCTTGAGTCCACCACAGTTCTTAGGGTACCTCTGATGGTTAGGACCCAGACCTGTGACGGTCATGAAGCCCCCTTGACCAGTGCAGAGTTAGAACACCGCCATAAAATCTGTATAGCCCAGCACTGCCATTCGTTGTAGGTGTGACTTTGGGAAAGTCATATAACCTCCTTGTGCCTCAGTTTCCCCTGATCTACAAAATAGGGATAATAATAGTACCCACCATAAAGTCAAGCACTTAAACAGTGCCTGGCACATAGTAGATGCTCAAGAAATATGAGCTGTAAGTATGTGGGCACTAGGCTTTGAATAATTCAATCTCACTTTTTCACTTTTCTCCCCCTCATTCTTCCCTATTCTCCTGCCTTTCACCTTTCCTTAGCAGCCACATCATCCCTAGGGCATTGATTTAGGCTTGTGGCCAAGTTCCCTCGCTCCTTTTTTAATTTGAATGGTTCTAGATCATAAAGCCTCTTTTTCTTCCTTCTGCCTCCCATTCTACAGACTTCTTTCTTCCACCTTTATACAGTGCCTAAGTACATGGACACGCCCGAGCACCACACAGGACATACTCTGTGGGTCTAGCCTCTGAGGAGCAGGGAGGGCAGTGGCACGGATGGAAAGACCTGTGTGTGAATTCTTCCTCCACAACCTATCACCTGTGTGACCCAGGTGACAAGCCCTCTGACTTAATTTTCCCCATCTGTACAATGGGATTCCTGTTCCTCATCTCAAGGCTGCTGTGAAGATTGAAAGTCAAGTTCCCATAATACAGTGCCCTTCCTTATTCCCCAAAGCTATGGGTAGAGTCCAGATAGACTGGGTAAGATCTTTCCATGCAGATTTTTTTTTTTAATTGTCTCCAGGGGATCCCTGGGTGGCTCAGCATTTGGGCACCAGCCTTCGTGTCTCTGCCTCTCTCTCTCTCTGTGAATAAATAAATAAAATCTTAAAAATAATAAAATAAAATAAAAATTGCCTCCTTTCACTCTCCTCCTTACCCCAAAGGGGCTCCCAGGAAACCTGAGGGATCTCAATGTCCTATTTTTTTTTATTTTTAAAGATTTTATTTATTTGACAGAGAGAGCACGCACACAAGCAGGTAGAGCAGAGCAAAAGGGAGAGCAAGAGGGAGAAGCGGGCTCCCAACAAGGGGCTCAATCCCAGGACCCCGGGATCATGACCTGAATCAAAGGCAGAGGCTGAACCAACTGAGCCACTCAGGTGCCCCTAAACGATTTATTTTATTTATTTTTTATTTTATTTTGTTTTATTTTTAAACGATTTATTTTAGATCACGCCTTCCTCCTGGGTTCACCTGACTGCAGGGCTGGGGTACTTCCCAATGCTGAACTGTGGATCCAGAGCCCTTCGGACAAGCAAGGCACCACTGCTCTTATTTTGCAGGGGAAGCCATTGCACTACCCAGTGGCTGACCCAACACCGCACAGCTGGATGGTGGCAAAAAGAGGAGGAACTCTCTTACAGACTTCCTGGGCATTTGCCCTGCTGCCCCCACCCCAGCCTGCTCTCAAGGTTCTTGGCCCTCTGGGAGCATCTGAGAAACTGCAGGTGTAGTCACCCAGGACACAGAAGGTGGAGGTGTGGAGGCCGAGAAAAATTAAGGCCATTCCACCTGAAGTTTAGCATTAGCACAAGTACAGCCATTTTAGGCCCCTGGGAATAAGAGCTGAACTTCACAGGAAAAACTGCAGAATGTCCTCAGCAGGGAATCCCTTATCGGAAAGACAATAAAGCTCAGAATGCCCTTGGCAGAGAATCCCATATCAGATCTTAAGAAACTCCCCCACCCTTTCCCCCATATTGGAATGGAAAAAATTCCTCCACCCCTTCTGAAGATCCCCTAGACCAGCCCATAAAAAACCCAGCTGTAACCCACTTCGGGGTCCAAGCCCCTGCTCTGCTGTGTGGAGTACACTTGGACCCAAGCTGGAGCTTGTAAATAAACCCTCGGTGTCAGCTCCTTGGTGGTTTCTCAGATTCGCAATCTTGGGCACAACAGAGTTCCACCCCCTCCTTGCCCTGCAGGGCTCTGACTGCCCATTCTGGCCAAACTCTTGTCCGGGTGCCTCATCCTCATGGGATTGCTCCCCATCCCAACCTACCTCCATTAGCTGTGACCTGGGGATTCTTCTCCAGAAAGCCCCACTATCCAGGAAACTGATTTGCATCTGAAAAACTGGGAACCAAGAGGTGGCAGGAGGGCAGTGGGATTGCAAAGGTCCTTGAGGGCAGTGGGATTGCAAAGGTCCTTGACGGGAAAAGAGCCTTCTGTGCTGAAGAATGGATGTAAACACCTGCTTGGAGATGGGTCTAGAGGGAGCAGGGGAGGAGGTAGAGGGCTATCTTCTTAGAATCAAGCTTTGGGGGGGGGGGGCAGTGAGGGAGGTCAAAGGGGACAATTGCATGATTTGTGGACTGCCTTTCTCTTTGGAGGTTTAATATCTTGGTCACAGGCCTTCGGTGGGTATGGTTGGAATAGACATGAGCCCCTTCTCCTCTCAGCCGGGTCGGAGGTGTGTTTGGAGATGCCTGAGAGGGTTGGTAGGAGCTGAGGGAGGGTTGGCATGAAGCCACGGAGGGCCCTGTGGCAAACCTCCCCGTGGTGGGAAAGCCAAGTGTCTCTGATGGGAGGCCCAGTCTCTCTCTCTCCTTGGCTGGAAATGGAAAGGCACTTGGGCCTTTGAAGCAAGGAAGGCCGGTGGCAGAGCCATCATTTTCAAAAGGCTCAAATCCACAGGGAAGGGGAAGGGGACTCAGCCTGGTGGCGATAGGGTGGCTGGGAGGCAGAGCCCAGCCCACGGCTGGAGTCGTCAGCATCTATTTGGTGGTAATGGGCGTCAGGAGGTGCCCCTCCTCCCCAGCCAGCCTCCGAGGAGCACTTCCTCCAGAATGCTTTCAAATGCTTATTAGTGAGCTCTCCCCAAGGAAGGAGGCCAGAGTTGTTATCTGCATTTATAAATGACAGGGAGGGCTCCGAGGACTGACTCACTTCCCAGCACAGCAGCTGTGGAGGAGAGGCCGGCAGGGGGGAGCGCTAAGCAGAAGAGCTCCCCAATGTCAGGGCCCTGTGGGGGCCCCAGAAAGAACCCAGGGGCAGGAGCCAGGAAACCTGCGCATTGGTCTGGGCCCTGGCCCTGGCTCCCTGCTGGTTCTTGGGCAAGTCACTCTGGGTGCCCTTTGCAACAGTCCCTCTGGAACTCCATGTCCTTCCCCATCCATAACACAGGAAGGGTTTGGGCCAGAAGAACTTTCTCACTCTGACCGTTTACCTTGTCCTCTGGAGAACCCCAGGTAAGAAGTCTCTTCCTGAGGAGGGGGGCTGGGCGGCACCCCCAAGCAGCTCCAGCTCTCTGGCTGGGGTCCTGCATTCCTGGGCTGTGGTGCTGTAGGCTTCTGGATCAAAGTGGGGTTTCAGGTGAGGCTCCCCAAGGACAGGAAGGAACATGTTGGGGAAAGGTGTCGAAGCCTCTTGGGAAAGGTGCAGCTTTCTGGAGGCAGCGCTGGGGGCCTCCTGGGGGTCAGGTGGGGACTTTATAAACCATTTCCCCAGGGCCCTGGACAACAAGTCTAAGAAACATGGACTCGGCTCAAAAGGCCTGGGTTTGACGGCCAATGGTTCCTTCTGACCTTGGCCAGGTTCCTGGCTTACTCCTGCCCCCTCAGTACCCTCCTCTAGAAAAGGTACAAACAGTAGCTAGCTCATGCGATGTTGTGGGGATTAAGTGGACTGAAAAATGGGAAGCACCTGTCATAGTCACAGACACGGGGTAAGCTGCTAGCGTATATTTTGATTTTACTGCTTTCACCTCCTCTGTTCCTCTCCCCACCTTCCTGTTCCTTTTTTGCAGCGCTGGTTACTTTCCTTTCCCTCGAGCTATGGATCCTTTCACAGAAACCCAGAGCTGCAATCCCCTTGGTTCCGGGAACAGTCATACCCTCCCAGGGGAATCCGTTATTAGGAAATCTTACCCAAACCTAGAGAAGAGGCCAAGGTGGCACGTGCACGCTCCCAGCGCCGGCAAACAGGCTGGCCCCTGAGAAGGCCCCACTGTGGGTTGGTTGGTTACCATGAATTAAGGGCACAGACTCTGAGAAGTTACAAGCGAACTTGTTCCCTTGTGTCCAGCAGGAAAGGACATCGGCCCCAAAGTGGCTATTTGTTGCTCTGGAAGACGCTCACGGGCGTCGGAGGCAGCAGCAGGCTGAGTCCAGGAACACTGGCTTCAGGTCCCTGAATGTTCTGGGAACCGGCCTCAGCACCCCGCTGGTTCCCTCAGCCATGGATGAGATCGAATAGAACCTTTGACCCCTGTTCATCCTATAGTAAGATGCGTGTTTTTAGCTTCTGAATATTACACATTGGCACCACCTACTCCCCACCCGCACCCTGGGGACTTGCAGAGGATGACACAGGGTCTCAGCAGTCGAAAGCCATGGCCTCAAAGCTCAACGTGCCCAGGTCACGTAAGGGTCGTGTTAAAATGCTACTTGGGGGATCCCTGGGTGGCTCAGCGGTTTAGCACCGCCTTTGGCCCAGGGCCTGATCCTGGAGACCCGGGATCGAGTCCTGTGTTGGGCTCCCGGCATGGAGCCTGCTTCTCCCTCTGCCTGTGTCTCTGCCTCTCTCTCTCTCTCTCTCTCTCTCTCTCTCTCTCTGTGTGTGTGTGTGTGTCTCTCATGAATAAATAAATAAAATCTTTAAAAAAAATGGAATTCTGACTCAGAACTTCTCAGAGGGGGGGACCTAGCCTCTGCAGTCCCAACTCGTCCCCAAGTGCTGTCGATGCTGCCGCCCGAGGACCACACTTTGGGTGGCAAGGGCCCCGGCAACCTCTCAGCGTTGTGTGCAGGCCCCTCCCACCCACCATCCCGACGGGTTGGAATAAGATCAGGGGAGAGCCTAAGCCATAGCAGGGGGCTCCTGCTGGTGGGATATCGGGCACAGTGGCAGGCCGCTGGGGGTACCGGGGAGCTGCCCATGCTCTCGGCTGTGTGCACGAGCTAGGGGCCAGAGCTAGGGCCACGGTACGACTTGGGGGGGGGGGAGAGGACCACGGTGAGGAAGATGTCCTCCTGCTTGTCGGTCCCCTGGGGAGACACAAGGGCCCGAAGCCTGAGCAATCTGCAGTATTCGAGGAACAGCGGAAGCTCGTGTCCCCGGAGTGCGTGGGAGGCCCCAAGCTAGAGCCCGGACGCAGGGAAGAAAACATCAGGCTTGAGGACCATGACAAGGACTTGGCTTTCATGCTGAAGTGCCATGGAGAAAGCTGCAGAACTTGGCCAGAGGAGTGGCTTAGGATTGAAGAGGACCTTCTGGGGGTGCCTGGGTGGCTGAGACAGTTAAGAGTCTGACTCTTGGTTTTGGCTCGGGTTGTGATCTCAGGTCGGTGAGATCGAGCCATGCATTGGGCTCTGCGCTCATCGAGTCGGCTTGAGATTCTCCCCCTGCCCCTCTCCCTTATGCTCTCTAAATACATAAATCATAAAAAATAAGATAAAATAAAAGGACCCTCTGGGCGCAATGCAGGAGAGAGAAACACTCTTCAAGGTGGGCTCTGCTTCGAGTCTGGCGTACCAGGGCTCAGGTGGGCCTGGGAACCTCTATTCTAAAATACCCAAGTAATGGACTCTGTGGGGTCCAGAGACCCAGCGCCACCCCTCAAACAACTAACTCCAGGGGCCCATTCACATTGTTCTCTAGGTAACTGGTGCCAATCAGCTGGAGCTCATGGTGAGTGACATCCTGGGGGGCAGCGCCGTGTGCAGCCCCGCAAAGGCCACCCTTGAAGGTGCCCCCACTTCAGGTGCTTCCAGTCTCCAGGAATGAGGGTGCCTGGGTCCCTTGCCTGTAAGAATTTGGGCGTACACACCTGGTGCCTCATGAGCCCAGGCTGGCCCCGAGCCAAGGCCTGGAGGGCCTCATCATCCCTAGTCATTTGGTGTCCTCAGAGGCCTGCAGCGGAGCTTGAGAGATCCCCAAACTGTGAAGACAGAGTGAGCGGGGTGCGGGGGGGTGATGGTCAGTGTCCCACCAGCACCCAGATGTGCTCCAGGCCTGTGCGACAAACAGGGTGGCACCCAGCGCCCCCATCCACGAGAGGTTCTTGGGAGTAAGGGCTGTGCTCACACCAGGCGGGTGTGCCAAATGCATGATGCTGCTCACCGAGGGCTGCTTACCTGTCGTCTGCTGTTAACCCCCCTCTGGTATTAGGGAAGGCAGGCAGTGGTGGCGCCCATTCCATAGATGAGGAGAGTAAGGCTGAGGGTGAGCAACATGTGAGCTGGCGAAAGCCGTCGTTTCTCCTGTTTGAGCTGGCCTCTCAGTTGTGACCCCAGCTCTGCTCTTTCCAGGCCCCTAAGCATCCCTCCCCCCCAACCCCCAATAACCCTGTTTCCGCATCTGCACAGCGGGGCACTGCTAACAGTAAAGGAGAAACCTACACCTGCCTGCCCAGTGCTGCTCAACAGCAGGAGCTCAGTGGAACGTTCTTGCTAGGTCCTAAAGCAGCTGGGCTCATGGCCCTTTTCTGAGGAAGGGGGCCGGCCCACCTGGCCCTGAGACACAGGTCCGCAGCCTGGCCTGGCTGCTCCTGGGCCCCGAGTCACGTGCTGTCCCAGGCCTGCCCTTCCGACCTGGTATTTCTCAGAGACTGAGAACCAATACCCCTTGTGCGTGGTGAGGGACAGTAACCAGACTTCCTGGGGTGGTCTTTTCACGTACACGCATGCACTGAATCACTCTCTTATACACTTGAAGAGCTGAAGCTAATATAATGTCATGTCAATTATATCTCAATAATCATTAAAAAAAAAACCCAACCTTCTGCTCCCACACTGCACACTGTCTACACTGCTAACACTTGGTTATATCCTCGTCTTCTTCAGCGTAAGGGCACCATTCCAAAAAACTCTCGCCCAGGAAGTAATAAAAGTTGTAAATACCTTTATTGTTCATTCTGGGCGCTTTGCGAATCATTTAAAGGAACAAATGGCTCAGCTCTTTAGAAAATACCTTCAAAAGAGAGTGTATAGCTTAAGACTTCAAATTCCTTGCCTCAAAATGCCCCCTGGCTGCACCCACCCATCCTAAACCAGAGGATAGGGATCCCCGGGTGGCTCAGCGGTTTAGCACCTGCCTTTGGTCCGGGGTGTGATCCTGGGGTCCTGGGATAGAGTCCCGCGTCGGGCTCCCTGCATGGAGCCTGCTTCTCCCTCTGCCTGTGTCTCTGCTCCCCCCCTCTGTGTCTCTCACGAATGAATAAATATCTTTTTTTTTTATTGGAGTTCAATTTTCCAACATAGAGCATAACACCCAGTGCTTATCCCATCAAGTGCCCCCGTCAGTGCCCGTCACCCAGTCACCCCCACCCCCCAAATAAATAAAATTCCTTAAAAAAAAAAAATAAACCAGAGGATAACCTTCATCCAGTCTTGGTGAAGGCGTCCATCCTCCACTGCACTGAAAGCCCACGCACCCACACCCCGATATTTAACTACTGTGACTCCGTCCTCCCACAGGGACACGCTATTCGGACTCTCTGGAGGCAGGGCTTCCTTTGCCATGAGGAATCTCGAGTTCTGTCTTAATGGGCCAACGTGGTGCTATTTTGGAGAGCCAGGGTTTGACCAGAAGAAACAGAGTCCTGTGCCTGAGCTTTGGGGTGAGGGTGGGCATGCGTCCAGGCTAATCTGCAGGGGCAGATACAGCAGGGCCCCAGATTCGAGAGATAGGGGTCTTCGGGGTTCTTCTGGTGCAGCCCCTTCACAGACAGGAAACAGCCCGGAGAGGGAAAGGGATTTGTCTAACTCAGCACTAGCTAGGGTTGTTCCAAGATTAAAGGAGTTAAGCTGTGCCACAGGCCTAGGCACTGCCTGGTGCCCACTAAACTGTTCGGTACACGAAGATAACGGAGTGTGTGGCCTAAAACCCAAGACAAACTCGGCTGGCCCTCAGGATGGAGAAAACCAAACCTGACTTAAACTCGGAACTTGAGCAGGCGTTGACCATCCGGACTGCTGGCCCCACCCGGTGTCTGATTCTGCAGAGCTGGGATGGGACGGGGAATTTGCACGGCTGACCAGTTCTCTAGGTGCTCCGCGGCTGCTGGTCCAGAGACGTCTGCCTGAGAACCACAGACCCTGAGGAATCCATTGCTAAGGTGTAATTTCTGGCTGCCCTGCAGGGTTCTAGGGCATGCAGCACTTTACCTGCCTCGGCACCCACCTGCGAATATTCTGAGTATCACCCCAGAGGGTGCCTTTTGACTTCAAGCTTTCAATAAGAGAGGCAGTCCCTCAGGTGTGACCCCCAGGCTCCTGGAGGTCTGTGTGGAAAGAATGAATCGAGCACCAAGCAGGCAGATGAAACCAATGCGTTCTTTATTGCAGACTGAAGCTAAGGGCTCATTTACACGGTGGGCTCCGATCTGGGGGCTTCTCTCACTGCCCAAGCTTCCCCAGACAGGCAAGGGCAAACTCCCCAAGCAGAGCAGAAAACAACTTCCAGAAGCAACCCCTTCAGAGAGCCTCATGTGAGGACCTGGGGAAGCAGGATCTGGGTGTGCAGAGGGTAACCAGAGAGCCAGTGTCCCGAGGGCCAGGCAAAGCCAACCCTCATCTGGTGACTTCAGGTCACTCCCTTCGCTGCAAGAGTCCCGCAGACTCTGAAAAGATCTAAGAGACCCAGGGTGTCCTGGGGCTGGTTTAGGGAGAGGGGCCTGGAGTAGCAGGGGGAGGGCTGAGAACCTCCATCCTCTACTCCAAGGATATCCCCTGGGTCAGCCCTAGGCCCTGGCTTCTCAAACGGTAAAGTGCTTCTAGGAATTACCCAGGGATCTTGTTGAAATGCAGGTTCTGATTCTGGAGGTCTAAGGTGGGTCCTGGATTCTGCATTTCTAACAAGTTCCCATGGATGCCAGTGCCACACTTTGAGTTGCAGGGCTCTGGCCATACAGTGCCTTTGTGCAAGAAAAGTGCACCTATTCTTTGACAAGGAGTAACCCCACTCCGGGACACCGGGTGGGTGGGGCCAGGCCAGCCTGGACTGGGCCATGGTTCCCACTTGTCCACAGCTGAGCCCTGCAGCACTGAAGATCCATCCGGACCTCCTTGCCCTGCAAAGCCCTTTCCCAGAGCTTGGTGAACCAGGCCTTATGACACAAGAGAGTAAACACAGCATCTCTTGGGGCACTGAGCACTCAGTGATGGGCCAACCAATGGTCCAACCTGTCGGTCCTTGCCAAGAGACAAGGCGTCTGGGCAGGGGCAGGCTCCAGGGCTGGGGAGGAGAGAAGGAACACAGCATTCTGATAAGGGTCTGGGCTGGGAGAGGCTTAACCCTGGGAGTAGAAGAGTGGCTACTGGTGCATGCATGTAGGGTTGGGTGGCCTGGCCTGTCCCATGTCCTGGGGCCTCAGGCATCTCCCACAGACCAAGACGAAGGTCCAGGCCAGGTGGGTTCTGGGCTCTGAGTCCGCTTGCTCCACAGATGAGAAGGTGGGAGGTGGATACTTGGAGGGATAAAGAAGTCAGGAGTTCTCCAAACCCACAGATATTATCAGAAAGCAAGAACCCTAGGCCCTTTCCACGCAGGAAAACAGTTGTCCCAGTTTGCCAGGTACTGTCCCAGTGGGAGCACTGAGGTCCCGTGTCCTGGGAAACCCTCAGTTGTCCCAGTTGAACGGGGATGGTTGGTAGCCTCATGGCCTGGCCACATCCCAGACTCCAGATGGAGGGCCCAGAAATGACTAGGTCATCAGGGCTTTGGGGGGAGGCTTGGGAGCTGGCCAGCCACAAATCCAATGGTCCAAAGTGCCCCCAGCTGGACCAATGAGGAGGCAGCCAGGCTGCGGTCAATCACCTGTCCCAGAGCCACAGGCACAGTCGGCTTTGCTTCTCTTGGGCCACCTCTCCCTTGGCTCAAGGGGTGATGCAGGCACACCTGGTCTGTCCTGAGGCGCACTCAGAACTCTTTACCCTGC